AAACCGGATCCACAAATAAAAGACATCATAATAGGTTAGATAGATTGGACTTAAGCTAATAGATTAGATAGAATGGACGTATTCAGGGTAATCTTTCCTCCCAAGGACAAATGTTTGGCCTTCCTCGAGTCAATTTTAAAGTGAAATATTTAAATAGTGGGATCCCAAATTGATATTAGCATTTTACACTCATAAATTAAGAAGGGAAATGACCTTGTGAGACGCTCCCACATCCATGTGTGTAGGACCTCAAAGGATAACCATTAAATTTGGCACAGATATTTAGAAGAGTCAAGTCTCACACTCATGTGATAATTTTTTTAGAGATCTGTATCAAATTTAATGGTAATTCTTTAGAGTCTTACAAACATGGATGTGGAAGGGTCTCATAAAATCATTACTCAATTAAGAGTAATCAAGTACTTAAATGGAACTTTTTCGCTCCACCTAAAAAAAATTACAATAGTTGACAGCACTACGTCATGACATCCCACTCCCACCAACATAGTCTTTTCCACATGTACTTTGATACCTACGGGAAGTTCAATGCACCTCAAAAATATCCTTAAGTTTTCCATATGATTCATCTCTATGTTACAAAATATGAAAGTACCATATTGCAAATATTGCAAACATGAGATAATTGGTCCTCTTGAAAGTTTAAACAGCAAAAGAAGCCTCGTGCCTCCACCTTCTAATGGTGATCATGGATCCCCTTGCCTAACTCCCTTTGATGCTTGGAAGAATCCCTTCTTCCATTGATCAAAATAAAAAAACAAGCACTAGAATTACCTATTTTCACATTTGCTGAAAGGCTCTAACTTTCATAATCGCCACTAATCCACTTTATTATAAGCCTTTTTCAGCTCTAATTCATATTACGCCTTACCTATTTTCACATTTTTTGGAATGAACGAACACTTGAGCAATAAGTATACTATTTCTAATCAATCTCCATTGAATAAATGTTGATTACAGCCCAAAGACAACTAAAGGGAGACCTTCTCTCAATCTTCTTGCGATAATTTTGCAAAGGTTCGTTAGTAAGCTGATGGATCTGATATCATTGAGGCATGAAATAACTGACATCTCAAAAAACACTTCCACAATTAAAATAAGCGAGTTTATAAATAGGTTATTTATCTTTTGTACATGGAGGTCACAAGGTTGTAAGAGTATCATTAAATAGACACAGAGTTCCAAAACAAATATTCCCGGATTTTGTGACTCACCCCAAACCATCCAATTTGACATCTAATTTGTGTATCTCTCTTCCGCTTCACAAATGTACTAGAACTTATAACCAATCTTCACCATCCAATGTGTAGGTTGGACAATATTATCTTAAAGGAGCATTGAGCATCATGTACTCAAGTATATGGGATTATATGCTATGAGATCATTTATTATTTATTTTTTATATGGAAGAGTCACAAACTTTTTTCAGCCAAATCTAACATATTATAATGTATCACAGCTTTTGAGAAATTTTATTTCGAACTTTGTGCTCAATTAGTGACACACCACTATTGATCCGTTTTCATATCCAACGGTTGACAATAACTGTGACTTTTTTGTATCAAAAGTAAATAATCTCATCATATACCTTTCTTAAACATACCTAGTTGCTTTTGTTGGATATAATGAAAATAGGTTATCAGAACGAAACGAGGGATATGCCACACTCCTGCTTAGATGGTTTCTCTGACATAATCGGAAACAATGGCTTCAGGTTCTGTAGCACTTTCCATGTCTATTAAGGGCTATACTACTTTGGAATTCACGCTTTTCAATGACTTCGAAAACAACATTAAAATATATTTAAAAGAAAAATTTTATATATTTAAAGGAAAAGGTTTATATAAAGTTGCAATCTTAAAATGTAGAATCAAATATGCACCCTAGGAAAAAATTGTTTTAGTATTGAAAACGTTCTAATTGTTCATCTTGATATCGAGATATATGAATATAAAAAAAAAAAAAGATTTTGAGTCTTAGAAATATTGCATCTTACAATACATTATCTAGACTGTTTATTTTCAAGACTTTCATGTGTTTACATATTTATTTGATTTTAACTATTTTTAGAGTTTTAAATTTTATAATTAGATATGAAAATAGACTTTCAAATAATCCTAAGAATTTTTTATACCAAAATTAGATATCATGGTAAAATTTGAGTGTGCACGTTAATTATATTGTTTAACCACACCCATATTTAAATAGGGAAAAGCCATAGGTTCAATGGTACAATGGAAGCCGCGATTTTTGAAACTTATCGACGAGATGGCTATCGCAGAATATCATTACATTAAATAAAAATAACCAAAATGCCCATGAAAATTTCAAAATTTTAAGATATTTTTGTTATTTTAAAATTTCTTTGATATTTTTATAAATGTGAGAGAAATATCAACTTTCTAAATTTGAGCTCATTTGATGTATAAAAAAGACAATAAAATTAAAATGCAATACGCACTCTAAAACTTAGGACTCGAGTGTGAAATAAATTTTATAAAATACGTAGGACTACAAAATAAGCCCTTTTGTAAATTTCCTTGAATACTTTTCCCCTTTGTGGAACCAGTCCCCCTCCCTCAGAGCATTCTGAGTTCGTTCGTGTATAAAGAGATGTATTTACCCAAAAAGATTAAGAGATGCAGACTGACTATGATACATGCAACAAACGGTTGGTATGAAGGAAAATATAGTAGGTTCCATGACGATTAACCTTCCAACAAATGAGAATACAATGCAGACATTGGTTGTACAGTGAGACCCACTCCCTCCATCTCCATCCGACCCATTGAAGTCATGAGATTTTGTGGACCCCATGTATCACATTATACGAGTCATTCAAACAGAACTACCTTTAGGCAACATCCCGGCTTGTTTAAAAGGGGTCCAAAGAAACAAAACCATGATTGACAATTATAGATCTAAAAACAAAAACATATAATATTTTGACAGTAGCTCTACAAAGAGATCGAGCAAAAGAAAAGACAAGAACGTCTTTGGCTAGATCCCCATGATTTTTCATGGAATATTTTATCTTCAAAATTAGTCAAGAGGATATGGGTTCTTTCCCTTTTTAAGTTGTTCTCTATATTCTTGTCTAGAAAATTCAGCATCCTAGAGAAGAAAGATGATATCAGAATGTGTGCTTGCTCCCCTTGGCAAAATCTTTCTCAAGAGGTCTTATATTTGTATATATAGACACAACATATGATATCCCCTTCAGCTAGAATCAGACAGCCCCGAATAACATGTTATAAGATAGACTAGTTTGGGGCTTAGAAATCCACTTTTTTAAGATTCATGATTGTCAAGGTCAAAATGGTCATTTCACAAATTTTACGGCGCCAAAGGAGTACATTCGATTCACAAATTTTACGGCACCCAAGTAGTACATTCGATTCACAAATTTTATGGTGCGCCGAAATGGTATATTCTCCGGCGAAATATGGCGTGCAACATTATAATGCCACTAAATTACTTACTCATTTCAACCACAAGTAGTGTACTAAGAAAGCCAACAGCCAACAACCTCATAAAAGATTAATCCCAGATCAAAATGTATAGAGAAAAATCCCTAAATCTCTGAAAGGTCATGAATATAACACTCTATATAGAAAGCCACTAGACACCATATGCAGCCTCTCCAATGCAAGGAAAGAAACTGAAAGGTCATATGAACATATCACTCTATATAGAAAGCCACTAGACACCATATGCAGCCTCTCCAATGCAAGGAAAGAAACTGAAGGGTCAGGGGATAACAACCCCAAGATATCAATGCAATAATAACCGGTGGCCCTGATCGAAAAAATTGGACCCTCGAAAAAACACCCACACACACTTAAGGGAAAAACTGTTGAATAAAGACCCAAATATCAATACCAATGTTTTGTTTTCTTCTATTTGGTTTGGTTGTCCTTTTGAATAGGGGCAGAATCCTGACTTATCATTCATTTAGTGAGAGAGAGGCAAGCTGATCCGTGTGGTCAGAAGGAGCAGCTGCTTGTGCCATCCTGAGAACTTCCAAGGCCTCACCGACCTTTGTCTTAAGGGCATCGGGCGACTCTATGAGGTGGAGGACCTCAGTTTGGTCCATTTCAAGGAGCATTCCAGTCACTTTTCCAGCATGGTCATGCTCCATGCGATCAACAAGAGGGAAGAGCTGTTCTCCAAGCATCTGTGAAAAATGTAGCAACATGTGAAAGTTAGCTAACTAGTTCTACATGTTCTAGCTTCTAGTTTTTTTTTGTGTGTGTGTGCACGTGTGTGTGTGTGTAAGAGAGAGAGATCCATTGATAGGAGTGGAGGTCAGTTGCATATGTCTTTTGGAATTCACAATAACGAATTCAGGTATGCAGCTAACAAAATAGGTGTGCACTATTGTTTGGTAACAAGGTCTCTAGAATGATAACAAATACAAGGTCTCTAGAATGATAACAAAATTCTAACAAGATGAAATGTCTAAAACCACCAATAAAAATTGAACATACAACTTACACAATGAATAAATTATGCTCAATGTTAAATAAGAGAGATGCAGGTAATCATAGGACTAGGTGAGCCTAAAGTCAGTTGGTAAAAATTAAGTTTGCACAGATGGAGTACCGCAGAATCAGCTGCAAAGAAAAGTGCAGAATTCTTTATCATCTAGTTTAAAAAACCATTAAGATGGTATTTCTACCATTTCTCTATAAGCATTGCTTGTTTCAGAAAGCGGCACAAAAAACGAGTAAATCTGTTCTTCATCATTGCAAGGTGAAACTTGATCCCATCAAAAAATTTCAAAAACATAAAAAATACACCTTCCAAAACACTATAATTACACCATAACTAAACACCTGCCCAGATAGTTCCATAGGAGATTACGAGAGAGCATCATCGCAACTTTCAACAACATTGTTAGAGAAACAATCAACCACTTCCATGAAAAGAGAAGGTGTAGAAAGGGCATACCACTCTTTGCTGCTCTGGTGTTGCAGAGGCCAAGGCAGAGGCAAGTGTTCCAATTGGAACTGGCTGAGGCCTTGGAGCTTCCATGGGTGACATAACCATGCCAGGAACGTCAAGCGGAAGAGGCAGCATAGGACTCATCAGACCCTGAGGCACCATAGTTGGGTCCAACCCGTTTCGTGCATTATTCATGTATCTGAAGCCTTGATTCGCATTACGCTGAATCATCTGAGAATCCACAATGCAAATTCATCGATCATCAAAATTCAATGAAATCGGCATTCACACAATAACCAATGATATAGAACGTTTCTTCTATTTGGATTTCTTTGGACCAGTTCACAGTGAAAATGGCATTCGGTGATATATCACTGTAGAAGGTCTCTTCTACAGTATTAGAAAGTTTCTTCTACAGAGTAGAGGGTTTCTTTTACAGTATAAGAAGTGATATAGAGTCTCCTCTACAGTATAAGGTTGGCACCTTATACTTCTATCATATAGATCGTTCCTTCTATTTGGATTTCTTTGGACCAGTTCACAGTGAAAATGGCATTTGGTGATGTCACTGTAGAAGGTCTCCTGTACAGTATTAGAAAGTTTCTTCTACAGAGTAGAGGGTTTCTTTTACAGTATAAGAAGTGATATATAATGTCACCTCTACAGTATAAGGTTGGCACCTTATACTTCTATGATATAGAAGTCCCATCTACTTGGTTTTATGGAAATTCCCTCCCCAGCCATTTGTTAATGGATGATGTAAGGCATTAGGTATTAAAGTTACGGCTAATACCCCACCTATTGAATCCAATCCAATGGCTGGGGAGGGAACTCTCATGGAACCAAATAAAATGGGCCTCCTACTCAATCACTGCCTTCAAAATTTTCAAACCAGACTCCTCTCTAGGGGAACTCTCGAATATGGAATTCATCCTGCTTTCGTAAGCCATTTCTAGGTGTTCCACAGTTTACACCTCTCCCCATCCACTGATCTAAGTTCTCAAAAGAAATGAAAAGGAAACACATCTCTAATTACTATAAATGCTTTAAAACTTTCCATGGAATGCGAAAAAAACTACCTCTCTGAACATGGTTGCAAAAATACATCTATCAATAGAACTCTAAAAAAATGGCATGCATTGATTTGCACCCAAAAGTATACACAAATGAAGAAACAAAACATAAAGAAAACAAAGAAAGGGATAAATGAACAGATCAGAACCAGTCACCAATAGAAGGGTGTCTTTCCCATACCTTCTTTGGCCAACCTATCACTTCCTCCATTGGAGCTTCAAAAACAAAAAATGACCCAAAAAGGAGCCTAAATAAGAATAAACAGCAAAGAGCTCATTCACTTACTTGCTGCTGCTGCTGCTGTTGCTGCAACTGGTGGGGAGCTCCCCCTCTCCTCACACCCATCCTTTGTCCAGGCTGCCCTTGCCTTTGAACGGGGTAAGGAACAACAAAGTTAGGCATTTGTGCAACCCCAGGTCTCATGCCTGGCAAGAGTGGTTGCTGATATCCGTAGCCAGCAGGCTGAGGCGGCATGAGACCAGGAGCCCCTTGGCCATAAAACAACTGTTGGGGGGTAAGCCTGGGGCCCGCAGGATGAAATGGGGACATATTAGCAGGCATCGCAGGTGGTACTCCCACTGCAGCTCTCATTTGAGCAAATTGTGCCTAATAAAAGCACAACCAAGATTTTCTAATTAGGAAAGTGACAAATAAATAAAGAGCACCTATGACCGCCCAACATTTTCATGGTAGGCCAGTGCCATCAAATATAAAAAGAATATTAGAAAATATATCAAACTTAAATTCATGTTGAGCACATAATATAAAAAGAATAATTCAAGAGTTTTACCTTTCCAATCCTAATAGCTAGTTTTACTTACAATATGCACATGAATCATTTTCATCAGGCAACCAATCTCAGATGTATAAAAGGTGTATCCTGGTTATTTCCAAACGAAAAAGTAAAATTTTCTCGAACTGCAGATACCTGCAATCTTGCCTTCCTCTCTTCCCTGCGCTGCGCGAGAGCGACATAGAGAGGCTTCCTTCCTATCATCTTTCCATTCATTTCCGCAACCTAACCATATTCACAAATGGGAGAATTTATCAACACACAGAACTTCAATTATGTTCCAGCAACTTTAAAGATAAACAGAGAAACTTGAATATGCAAATGGAGAAATGATCTTACTGCACGTGCAGCTTCATCAGGCGAAGAAAATGCAACAAAACCAGAACCCCTACTCTGTCCTTGTGAGTCTCTCATGATCTGTGAAAGGAAAAACACAAGGTACAATAACATATCACCCTTAGCTGAGAGGTGAAAGCAACAGTGATAGTTCAAACTTAGGCTTGTCTAGTTAAAATGTAACAGGAAAGGATGCTATAAGGGTACTATAATCCATTGATTGTTGTAACCATAGTCTATTGACCATAGTCTATTGGGGTCTCATCGCCATCCAATGAAATGATTGACGGTGAAGAGAAAGTCGGACACACCATTGGGGTAACATCCTGATCTGGTGTATCCCAATCTCCATCATCAACTATCATTTTATTGGACGTAATAGCCCCAAGAAGCAACATTTTCCTTTTAAAAAATCTACTATTATAGCATGTTTTCTAAAATAAGCTGCTTACTTTGCATGAAGTTATTACGCCAAATTCAGAAAAGAGCTCTTTGAGCTTTTCATCATCAAGTGAATCATCAAGGTTTTTCAGATATAGGTTAGCTGCTTGTAACTTCTCAAGTCTCCCATTTCTCTCTTGTTCGAATTTTGCCTTCAATTCTGCCTCCCTTTCAGATTTCTTTTGAGCCCTTCCAACGTACCATACTTTATCATCATTGTTGGTGGTTCCATTCAGTTTCTCAACTGCTGTAGCAGCATCATTGGGATTCTGGAAATTGATGAAACCAAAACCTTTGGAATTTCCACTTGCATCTCGCATAACAACAGCACTAGTGATGGGACCATAAGTACCAAAAACACTCTTAAGGTCCTCATCAGTGGTAGTCTCTGACAAATTCTTCACATATACATTAGTAAACTTTGGTGACCCAGTTGCTCGATCTCTTTCTTGGCGACGAACAAAGAGGCCAACATACACTTTCTTATCATTTACCAGCATTCCATTAAGTCTTTGAATGGCATTTTGCGCTGCTTCTTCCTGTTCGAACTGTACAAAACCATAACCTTTTGACTGACCAATATTGTCAGTGGCCACCTTGCAAGTAAGGACCTTTCCAAAGGAGGCAAAAATATCATACAATCCTTTGTTGTCAATTGATACATCCAAGTTTTTAATGAATACATTGGCAAATCCGCTTTTTCGGATACTGGGATCTCGATGAGAAAACATGATCCTTATTGGCTTTCCATTTATTTGGGTGAAGTTTAACATGTCAATGGCACGCTGAGCTGGAAAAATAGAGAGCAGAGGAAATATATTAATGCATTGACTGAAGCCAAGATTTAGACATTAAACCACGATATCTCATTTTGTATAGCCCAAAAGGAAATGTTCACAAAAGTATCAATTGCAAATGATCCAATGCAGTAATTTCTTTTCATGAAAAAAAAAATGTATGATCCAATGCACCAATACCTTGTGCCACTATAGAAAATAAAAAAGTATATTATGCCCTCTACGTAACCACAACTAAAACATTAAGGAACATGAAATCAATGCTCTGAATCCAAAATATAGCAACCACTGCATTCATACAATGGTTTAAATAAAATTCAAATTCAGTGGTTTTATAGTTGAGTGCAGTGAACTCACATGTTCATAAGAGAAATCAGTGTCATCTGGTTTAGTCATGAGAGAAGAAGATAATCATACGAGTCATGAAACAGATGAATGAATCCCACTGAGAGAAAGGAGTAATCGATCATAAATGTATGGGTCTTGTTTTGCATTGTCACCAAACAAGAGGGCACATTCATGACATGCTATATTCAGTATTCAATATCACTTAATTAGGAGGAGAGATTCCTCAAGATGAAGTAGATTTTCCTCCTGAATCCTTTCACACAATTCACTAGTCTAATACGTTAGACCTGGAGCTCAGAGTGAGGCCCTTCCAAATCAAAATGAGCCCCGCATGTGCACTGAGGAGATTGGGTTTCTAAGCTAACTAGAAATATACAGACCTGGATGGGAAATTATAAGCTCGATTATTTGTTCATTCTCTCTCTCTCTCTCTCTCTCTCTCTCTGTTTTTTAATCTCTCCTTTTATAACAATGTATAGGGTGTGCATGGAAGTTGTATTCAATAACGCAGGTTCTGGAGAGATAAAGTTCCAGCTCTTGATGTGCTGTTTCTGGAGTTTCAGAATTTAATAGAAACAGATGAGTGTTCAAGGATTTCACCATTGGAACTCCTTTGATGTTGAATGCTGATGGAAGTGAATTCTACTTCTTTTTTGCCGATTCCAAAACATAAAAAAAACCTAAGGTTAGAATGACTAAAGCCCTCTTAGTTTTTGAAAATATTTTAAACCGACAATGTAGAAGTATCAGCCAAATGGAATGAACAGGGGGATTCCGGACTTTATCCCTCCAGTGAAAATTAAAAAAGTCCACAGGTTGCCCACAAACTTTTGGACTCCAAAGCTCATAATAATGAACCACAAATAAAAATCATGATGATTGAGGTACTTACAATCTTAGTTTACTTGGTATGACACAATTCTTCTCTAGACCACATAAAAAGTTTGAAAAGCTTGCACTAGAGGAACCTACATCCCATTCTTTTTATTCTTGTGATAAAACCATTAAGTAGGTACAAAGCTGTAACAATTCATAAAAATTTATGCCCATGTGTCCCCCCGGATGGCATGTCTCCAATATCCCAATGACACTCTTATTTTGTCAATGCTCCTGTTTCTCAAGCTTTTTAGCTTTCGACTATCTTTCCAGTCCAGATGCTTCACAATTGTATAGGGCAGAAAGTAAATCTCAGCAAAAAAATAAATTACTGAGCATTTTGTGAAGAAAATCAAATAGATGAAGAGTTTAATGAAGTTGATATTTCCCTCAAAAGTCCTACATATCAAATAACTAAATGTCATTGGGAAAGGCCAGATTCGAAGATGGTAAAAATAGATAACTAAATGTACAGGCCATGCCCTTTGTGGTAGCAACTAGAATAAATCCAAGTTGGAAAATCTGCCACTTCTCACTATTATCTCTTACAAATCAGTCTCTCGTATAATGTCTCCACAATGTCAGCAATCCTTCATTGGTAGGGAGCTTCCTCATGGAACCATCTCATAATGTTCAGGGAGTTGTCCATCAACAATGGGGACTCTAAGAACTTAATGGTTACTGAAATGACAAATCAAGGTAAGCCCTAAAAATATACATCACAGAGCTACAAAAACATTGCCAATGGACTCCAAAAAGAGAGCAACAAGAACTAGCCTTTACTAAAAAACCTAGGACATGAATTTGGCAAAAGATGGTACTAAGAAAACCAAGCCTAAAACTGACCATGCACTCAAAGAAAGATCTAATCAGCAACTAATATCAACATACAAAGATTGAAAATGAAAAGTGACCATATATCCTGAAAAGGTTGTACCGATTGCTATGTAAATGGATAAACCCTAAATTTGCAAATGCTAGACAGGAAGGCCTGAAAAGTTTCATAAGGGGCATGGCTGGATATTAAATGTTCAACATGAAGCTAACTCACAATAATTCTAAATGAGTAAAAATAAAAAAAGGTCCTAAAATCTCATACAAAGGCAACATAAAATTGCAGCAAGATATTATGTATCTCAAGAAAATCCAAAACAGAAAACCTATATATTCATCCAAGAAATAATTAATAGACACTACAAGAAGCTAGACCAACACAAACCTTATTAAAATAACTCTCAGAAATAATAACCACAAAACCAGAATATGTTGAATAAGTTTCCAGGTATAAAATCAACACAAAGCCATGGTAAAAGATCAAAGGAAGCCTTCTCCCTAAAAATTCCTATAAGAATAACTAAAACCATTCACAAAATAAAACTTTAAAAAAAAAAACAGAAACATAAACGCAAAGATCACATTCTCAAAGTAGAGAAACCAGAATATGTTGATTAACACAAAGCCATGGTAAAAGATCAAAGGAAGCCCTCTCTCTAAAAATTCCTATGAGAACAACTAAAAACCATTCACAGAATAATACTTAAAAAAAAACCGATAAAAAATAAACACAAACATTACACTCTCAAACTAGAGAAACTCCTAAGAATTTTTCACCACAAAATGGAATGGCCAAAAACTTGACCGGAAGTTGATCTCTCTCTAAACCCTAGAATTTGAGGATGCCATCATGACTCTAAAAACCATAGAAACTCATAAAACAAAATGAAATCATGTCTCTACAAAACCTTAAAGAACTCAAGCTTCATGAAAGACATTACAACAAATCCTCAAGTAGAAAACCTAGAGAATCTTGAAATAGGTCACTAATGAAGCAACATAAATTTTAACCAAAGATGCACCAAATAAAAAGACACATATATTCATCAAATATACCACTAAATATATATCGAGATTGCTTAATACAATGAAAGAAAACCATAGCAAGTCCCTGATCCAAAAAAAAAAAAACGAAGCTATAACAAGTTGTGATAAAAAACCCAAGCCTCATTCTTATAAAAACACTATACAGAAAGCTATGATATATGATGCAAGGAAAGCAATAAGCAGTAGTGAACAAAACCCCTAGTTTCATGTAACAGGCAATAAACAGAACAGCAAAAATCATCTCTTATATCTACAACTTCATGTAATACAAAGAAAATAAAGCAATCTCTCTGTGTCCCTGTAGTAACTTAAAGCATACAAAACATTGATAAAGAAACATCTCTCTCTCCCAACAAAAAAACGTAAAGACAGTTGATAAAGAAACATCATACTCTCTCTAAAAAGCTACCTACTTCTCTCCAAGAGAAACCCCGAAGAAAAGAACACCTGATAATGATCATGATCCATTAAAGAAACAAACCAGAAAAAAAAGAAGAAGGGCCATACCTTCTTGCAGGCTTCCATAGTTTACATAGCCATAGCCAAGAGAGAAGCGCCTAACTATGTCCCTACAAACCCTAACAGAGACCACAGGAGCGATGCTGTTGAAGAGATCAAAGATCTGAGTCTCTGTAACAGAGGGATCGAGATCCCCAACATAGAGTGATGCGTTCGGGAACACAAGCACCTGTGGCTGCGGCGCTTGGGCCGCAGTCGCCATTATAGAAGAAGAGAGAGAACTTAGAGTTAGAGAGAAAATGTTAGAGAGAGAAAGAGCTCTAGAAAGAGAAGCGAGTTTTGGAGAAGTAGGTAAGATATGCGCAAACGGGAGCGGATTTATAGGAGATGATAACGGACGTGATCGCTGCGATTTTAGGATAGAGGTTTTCGGAGAGAGAGAGAGAGGAGAGAGATGGATTCAGACGGTGTCCATTATAGAGAGAGAGAGAGTAAACAAGAGGGAGGTTTTTAACTTGTAAGGAAAGGGAGGGGACTGACACGAAGGCCCGGGTGTTTCCCGTAATAAGAGGAGAGTAGAGAGAGGAGTTTTTAGAGAGAGAAAGGATGAGAGAGATTGTGGGGTAGAGAGAAAAGAGACACCGTTCTGTGACAGATCAAAGAGAGAAGAATGGCCCCCGGGGCAGAGAGAGAGAGAGAGAGAGATCGTCGTTGGGGTTTTAGAGAGAGGGGTCGGTTTTAGAGAGAGAGTGGGTGGAGAATACTAGAAATTGGGAAGGCGTTGTCTGGGCTTAGAGAGAGAAGTGGCGTGGTGGGGCAGGGGGACTAGAGATTTTAGAGAGAGAAAGAGAAGGGTTTCTGTAGAGAGAGAAAGAGAAAAAGGGTTTCTGTAGAGAGAGATGTTAGACCTAGAGAGAGAAAGGTGGCGTGGGAAGAGACAAGCCAAAAAGAGTGGCTTTCCACTTTGAGGTGGTTTACCACTCTCTCTCTACATCCGGTTTTGTAGGTCAGAAAGTGTGATTCCACTTTCTCTCTCTACAGCCGGTTCCTACGCGGGTGTTTGAGTTGCTCTAGAGAGAGAAAGTGGGGTTCGATGGAGGAGGGAAGAGTGGTTCCACTTTCTCGCTCTACCGCCCGGTCCCCGCGCGGGTGGTCAATTGAATAAAGGTTGCGAGCCAAAAAAAAAATCGAAAGGTATAATACTCCCGCGGGAGTAATACTTTCCATCTACTCTCTCTTGGCAGAATTTGTACTAGGAAATATTTTTTGAATATGGTTTGCATTAGGTTGCATGTACTCTTGAGAGTAATATGTAATTCTTTTATGGGTGGGGTCTAGACTCTAAACCATCAAACTAAAGCCTATCTTAAAATAGTGTCGACAAATGTGCTTTCAATATTATAAATATTTTTGATAGCTTAAGAATATATTTTTATCTTTATTTATAAAGTTTAAAACTTCAAAAATAGTGTAGATCGCAATTCTATGAAAATCTTAAAAATTGATGGTCCAAAAATATATTAAAAAATAAATTATTTTCAAAACATGAAATCTATTTTTTTCTCATGTCTATGCGTCTTGATGTCGAGATAATCAATTTGAAGATATTTGAACATCAAAACGACCTTTTTTAATAAAAAATTTGTGATAAGCTCCAATTTGATTGTTTAGAGCCTCGGCTCTATGTAAACTTTTTTTTTTCTTTTATTAATGCCTATTACAAAAATTAAAATAAATATTTATATATTTGTCTCTCTCTCTTACCCTTTTTCTCTCTCTAAACTTACCTTTCTCATTCATATTCCTAGACTAAAAACAAAAATGTGGTTGTTGATTTCTCTCTCTAATGAGGTGAATAGGTTTAGGCAATGCTTAGAGAGAGAAGAAAAAGGAAACTCCCCAAAAATATAAATGGGATTTGATGGTCTCTCTCTCTCTCTGGAAAAAGGGGATCTCTCTAAAAATGCAAATGGTTTTGTTGGTTTAGGGGAAAAGGGCATCTTTTTAAAAATATAACTATAGAAGCTTATTTTGACTTATGTAATAATCATTAATAAGGTCATGTTGTTATAAATTAAGTTGAAAAGTACCATAGGTCAATGAAAAAACAAAAAATTTTGAGGTAATGGGTGTGAGATTTTTCTAGTGGAAGGGGCATTATAGGATGAACGTTAAACCTTAGGGATTCATTAATTTTTCCTATCCTAAATTTTGGAGATGTAATCTCTTGAATCTAACAACCAACCTCAAAGAAATCAAAAATAAAAAAATTCTCACCAGCTAAATGTGTTAAAAGAGGCATCCAATATTGCATAAGAACCGTCCAACTCTTTAGACGGAAAGGTCTAGATGTTTAAGAACCTAAAATCCAATTTTTTAATTTTAAAAATGGTCATTTAGTGATACTTAGATGAATTCTAAAAATTTAAATAAATAAAAAAAAACCTCCCAAGTAACTATTTTCCCAAGGGATTGATTCGGGGGAATGCTATATGCTCTTAAAAAACAAAAAACAGAAGCCTGTTTAGAATTATCAAAATAATCAATTGAACAGTTCTCCTATGTCTTTGGAATTAATTTCAAATTACTCGTTATTGAGTTGAAATAGTTGCAAATAATATTAGGATTATTTTAATTTTTTATTATTATTTAATTTATCTTTTCAAGAATAAGAGAGGAGGTACGCGGGGATATTAGTGGGCATTGAGTTTGTGTCTAAGTTGATATTTATGGATTTGGGTTAATTAGTTACTGATTGATTTGGGTTGGTTAGTTTGGAATACAAATATGTAAGGTTAAATTAGAGGAGGTAGTTTAGGAATATAAATAACATAAGGTTACGTTTTGAGAGAGTTTATCCTTATCAACAATAATCAAAGTTGGGGAGAATTTTGCGCAAAATGTGGGATAGAAACGAGCCTAATTTTTTGCAGGTGAATTAAAGAGAGAGAAGATAGGGAAAACTTAGCACGTAATTTTAAGAGCGAGAAAATATGGAAGAAGAGATAAAATAGGAAAAGTATAGAGAGAGTTTTTTTTGTTAATGTTTATCTTATTTTTTTAGTCTATTTAAATGGCGATTTCCCTTTATTGTAAAAAAAATGGATGAGTTAATAAAATTTGGTATCATAAAGAGATTTTTTGGGTGGATTCCCTCTCAGACCTTGATGGTATATTTTCTCAACCTTGGGGTGAATTCTCGTGTTGCAGACACTTAGAGATGGTATATTCTCTCAAACTTTTCCTTTTATTTTTATGGTGTTATTTTTTTTTAGAGAGGATATATTCTCCCAAACTTTTCCTTTTATTTTTATGGTGTTATTATTTCTTTACATAAAAACTGCATTAATTCGTATTAGAGCAAATTAGGCCCAGAGTTTACATTGCCACCAAAAGCGAATCAAGCTAATCCTGCTAATCAGATGACATTCAAGTTATGTCCAGAGTTTACAATGCCACCAAAAGCAAATCAAGCTAATCATGTTAATCCTGCTCATATGGATGATCGTTGGGGGCAAACTATAAAAATTTTGATTAAAGCCCTAGAGGACATTTTCAATTTATTTTTATGGTGTTATTATTTCTTTGCATCAAAGTTGCATTACTTATTTATTAAAAGAATTTACGCACATGCCTCTAGATATCTTATTGTTTTTTCTTATTTCTTTTTTTTCTTGTCTCTCATTTTTCCTAAAACATCCTTACTTCGACTTTAATGTTTGAAGTGACGACGATTGTGAATCAAAGTCATGAATTTTTTGTTTTTTTATTCTAACTTTTGGCCTTCAAGTTTTAAAGAGAATATCAGATTTGCCTTCAGTCATTGAAGATTTGAAATTAAAACTTTTAAAAGACTTTGGACTCTCAAGGTCAACAATTTCATTACCAGATCTAAAGTCAAGAATTTCAAGGTCATTCACAACCGAAAATAGGGGTGTTTCGGAACAAAGTGAAAAAATAGAGAAAAAATGTGTATAAATATAATATATAAAATTTTAGGGACTATAATAACGAATATCTAGGAGAGTTTCATCATAAATTTCTTTATAGATTTCGGATTTATATGGATATTTGGGAAACGGTAAAATAAAATTTCATGCGGTTCATTTTTCCTTTTTCCTTTTTGTATTTTGGAAGTGAAATATATATTTTTTGTTATGTTAACTCATTGCATTCCAATGTTTAAACAAAGGCAGTATATATTTAAATATTTTATTTTTGACATAAGAATACAAGCATCTCTATTTAAAATATAAAATCTGACAATATAGGGTGTATTATAATATCTGAAAATATTCACTCAAGACTAAAGCAAGTTACACATACTCCATTTTTTCATTGTTGAAAGCTATTGTTACGTAAAATCTCTCACCTCTATCCTACTGGAAAGAAGATTGAGGATAAAAACTTCCCTTTCTCTTTGTTCACATAAACAACCACCTCCATTGTCGCCGCCGCCGCCATTGCCACCGCGACCACCACCACCAAAATCAAACATCTTTCAAATAATCATCATCCCACGGCCAAAAACACCTCTCAAAAGTCTTTCTACCAACTCCCAACCAATCGGCAAGCTACCTCTACTATTGAAGATCTTCACCTTGCCAAAGTTTAGGAACCACATGACCCTTCTTCTATGTGGTTGGATCAAACAATTTGAGCTTCCTCCACACAAAACTACACAAATATGGAATCAAATAATGCTACATTAATTTGAAATTGATTCAAAATTGGTTCAATTAATGTTTACTTTTATTTTCTAGAGACTCTGACATATGTTGTCCTTCCCAATATTTAAAAACCTCTATTGATAAGGTGAACTGACCATCTGAGTCAGGGAATTTTCAATCTAGAACATCAATAGGGCCCAAGGAATTGGCCAAAAAATAAAAAATAGAGAAAAATTTGAAAAGTAATTTTAAAAAGTGGAGGCAGATTGGCTGGTTCTTTGATAGAACCCTGAAAAAACCGGCCTGATCCCAATATATTGAAAGAATTAGAATTGTCCCACTAAAAACTTTTCCAATTTAGGTGATTCCAATCCGAATTGGCCTTTTTTAAAACATTGATCATTCCCTACCTACTTCACCACAACGTAAAGGAAATGAACATTGAATTTGATCTCTATAAAGACCCCTAATGATGTAGATAAAAATTTCACTCCAATTATTGCATTTCAGAATGTGAATAAAAATTTATGATTTGATTTGGTAATAGAGGGAAGCCACCCACCCCTAATGAAGGTTTGGTTTAAAACCAAGATCCATAGCATTCTTACAATTAAAAAATAAAAGGACAAAAAGAAAAAATCCCTTATGAAGCTCTAGTAAGATCAACTCAATACAATACTAGTAAGATGCACCTGAGTCTCATTAAAATGTTGTACATGATATTGATTCAAATACTATAATAAATAATACAATGAGGGAATAAATTTGACTCTCTTTGTTATGCTATGGG